GCTGCCAGGCAGCAGGAAAAGAGAAAGACCACAGAGAAGATTCATGGATGTACTGAAGCAGAGCAGGCAGAGGGTTGATGTGTTGGAACCCAAAAGAAGAAGATACTTTAACTCTGGAAGCTGAAAACATGTCAGATGTCACATTTTAGTGAAATAAAGGTAGGTGGGGTATAAGAAAATTGTACTTTTTTCTACAAAAATCACACACACGCACACACACACACAAACATATATTTGTCATCATTTTATGACAACAAACATCACATTCATTTAACTTATTTTCAATCGATATTTCCACTAGTCCACACCCACACGTCCACTGGCTCTGTGCCCAGCAGCGCCCAGCCCACAGTCTGAAATCCACTGTTTATGATTAATGTTTGACTTTCTTACAGCACTACCAATAAAGCATAAACACACCTGTAGACACATGTTTCACAACATTATGGAAATAAAAGAAACAAGGGTGTTAGTATTCAAAGCTCAAATAAAGTAACAAAAAAACCCAAAATTCAGCAACAGTCAAAGAAAATCTTAATGTTCTCTCCATAAAATCACTTAATTTCACATTTCAGTGAGACTGAAAGGCTCTGATTCTAAAGTGAAGTAACGTGTTTTGTTACTTAATAACTGGTTCAGCCACAGTGACACAAACCGACGACATCAATGCAAACACATACACACAGGCTTTTAATGAAGGGGCTTCAGGTCAACACATCATAATGAGTTTCTTAGTTTGCTCAGGTCGTTGAACAACCTTTAAACTGAAGCATAAAGACATCAAGTGCAGAATAATGAATATTTATAATTAGTCACCAGCTCACATGATATATTTCTTGCCTTTCATTTTACGGTCAGGACTGTTACAGGTATTTTCCCTTTGTTTCCACTAGGGGGCAGTGAGAGACGCTCATATTCTGCATCCACGCTGACAGGAAGGCGCCTCGATGAAGGTCCGGAAAAGAAAAATGTACACAAGGTTTAATTTGTTTAACAGCACAGGAGGATAAACCAGCTTTCCTCATGATTTCAGGTAATAAATGTACACAAGCCCCGGGCCATGAGACCAGCTGCTGACTGATGCACGATTACATATAAATCTGTCCTTGTTAATATTGTGTCCAGTCATGGGTAGTACCATAATAACCGTCCCTCGGAGGGCTGTCACCAAGCCAGTGGTGCAGAGTGGAAGCCAGTGCCTGTTATCAGATAACTGGAATATTTTAACTTTGGGCTGTTTTGAATCATTATTACGGAAATGTTCTAAGTCCCTACTTTAATACAGAAGAGCCAAATAAAACCACATTGATCTCATGTTTGCATGTAACATTAACCCAAATTAGTTATAATGTAGTTCAAGAGAGAAACTGTTAAAAACAACAACAACAAAACAAACACGGATGCTAACAAGCATTCATTCTGATTATTTTGATTTAGACACACGGGGGCACGAGCTGAACAACAGTCTGCTTGTTCTTCTGAAAACAGCACAAACATCTGTTCATGTCTCAGCTGATGAAGGGTTGTTCTGTTCTTTCCGGACCACCTAATTTGATCTCATTTAACTATGTAGGCTGGAGAAAAGGCAGAGGCATCACAGAGTTCATGTCCTACAGTGCATTGCCAAGTCTGGCCAGAACACAGCAATTTCTTCTAAAAATGCAATCATCCAGCTCAACCTGCAGATTAGTACTGCTCTGGGCCCGAGCAGGCTGTTGCTCATGATCACACTTTGTTACTTTCCATTTGCCTTTTAACTGTTTCCAAAGCACAACTTTGTATCATGATTGCATGCCACTGGACTGGCCTGTCTGCTCAGGAGGAAGGATTGCTTCACAGTCCGACATGGCTGAGCTTCATCATGACCAAGTGTCAGGAATATATTTTATATGAGGCGTGGATGGAAGAATCAGAGGGTCGCTGAAATGTGTTTTAACTGGTCCAAGTCCTGCTTGTGTGAATCAGCCTGTTTATAAGTGACTTAAATGAAAAGAGACATAAAAGATTTGATGAGTTTTTTTCCTTTTGCTGAGCTCATGAGCGTGTCACGTAGCGCCGGCCTTTTCTATTGACTGCTTGGTTATGTGGTTTGAAATTTGCTCATAAGTTATGTGTACCTTTGCTAGAGGTGTGGACAGGTGTGTCCATTCAGCAGCACATGGCGCAGTTTTGACCCGATGAGCCACTTTACAGGGGTTTCAGCGTGGGGGCGCGGGCTGTACCACCATGAAATATCCACAGGGGAGTCTGAGTTGTTGTGCTGCAGCAGCTGATGCTAAGGCCCAGTCTGACTCAGGTTAGCTGTCCTTGCAGTGCTGATTAGTTTCCACAGCTGTGGTGCTATTTAAAGCAGTCCCCTTGTTGTCCCTAATACCCCACCGGACTCGGAAACAGAGGAGGACCACGACCCCAGTGCCCCGAGAGCTCACTGAACAGTACCCCTGACCAGCTAATGCTTTAATCTGGGCAGGAAGTTCATGTGATCATTCAAATGCAAACATCAGTCAAAGTCGAGACGCAGATACAACAATCCAAAGTTCGATGCCTGCTTGAAGACGTGTAGTGACCTTGGCAAACTCTCTGTGTTTATTATCTACACTGTGCACTTTTGATGAATTGTGTGCACCGAACGAGTTAACACAACAGCTTAGTCTTAATGTTGTTTCCTCAAAGGACTCCTCGAGCTTTCTTTCTTTTCCAGAGGCACTGTGACTCTCATGTTTCACTTAGAAGTGCAACACTAGCCCGAGTTTTAGCTCTTCAGTTTGGGAGGGGGGGGTCCAAAATATCAACACCTCTCACATAGTCACAGTGTAATTGCTAGAATCATGAAGCTTTCCTACATTTTTGGCATGTCCAAAAAGTAGATATGACCAAAGCTTTGACAAATGAGCAGCATGATCAGCAGAGCCTTTTGTGCGCAGCCTCTCAAAAACTGTCTGCAACATTCCTGGGCCCGTATCCCTAAAGAATCTTTGTGCAAAAAGTGGCCAAATTCTAAGAAAATTCTCAGAGTCATGACCTTTTCTTAGAATTTCCCCTAAAAGTGACACGACAATCCCAGTTAATATAAAAGCTATTCCTCAAGATTCCTAACGCTTAAAAGGGCTCCTAAGGCGAGATCTGCTAAGAGCAGGGAAGAGGACTTTTAGTGGCTTAGGAGTTCCCCTAAGCAGCTGCACAAAATGGCCAACAGAAGAGGCAGGAGAGATGTCCTGCAAACACTGGATGACAGGGAATTATTGAGACGCTACAGATTGGATCGTGCAGGAATCATGTTTGTGGTGGATCTCCTTAGAGATGCAATTACTTCACCAACTCAACGCCACAACGCTATTACACCAGAGACGAAAGTAATCACAACCCCGAGGTATTTGGCAACCGGGAAAATGCAACAATGCAGCAGTGATGACTTGGGTCTGCAATCACAGACATTGCTAAAAGCTGAGCCGTGTTACCCTCGTTAAGACCACACTGGACTTGTAACGTTGTGATTTCTACTTCATTAAGGACAGCCTCTTGAGATAGGCCATCTTGTTTTCAACGGGGTCCATATGGGAGTGAAAGTACAAAATATGCCAGCTAGGATATTAATATGAGCAAATAAGACACGAATCATTATTTGAACAGGGTGTAATGAGTTTAAGTTTTCACATATTTTAGATTCTAATGGCTATAACCCCTACAGCTTACTATTCATTTTCCAGATATTTTCTTGAATGTGAAATATTATTTACAATTACAGTCAGCACAAGATTAGAGTGTATAATTATGTTTATTGATTTGAGGGTACATCCTTTGCTCATTATCACCAAAAGCTCATTTCCATCAAACTTGTAGGATCAACCAATCACGGCTTTTGAAATGATGACTCATACCTAGCAACGGGGTCAACCACACCTCCTCACTAAGATAGGATTTTCCATCCATTCCTTGCTCAGAGTTCACTGAAAATGTTCTGGAATCACTTCTAAGCTAAAACTCCTGGCAAGGAATTTTTAGGTTAAGTTAGGAGCTCTCTGAGAGGATTCTCAGAATCCTTAGGGATACGGGCCCTGGAGTGCTTGAATGGGGACTTAACTTTGTGCACTTTCTGCCGGATGCCTGTGTGGTCAGTGAGTCAGCAGCTGTGCATGGGGGCATTAGAGCGGGCTGTCTGCAGCCAGGTTTCTATTTACATCCATCTACAGTGAGAGAAACACTTTGTCACCTCAGTTTAAAGAAGAAGGCTTATCAGCACTACCGTGGAGCTGTTATTCAGTTATTTGACTTAAGATAAGTTAAACAGATGCCTGGTTCCTGAGCGCATGTGACACACTGAACAACTGGATTTGTGTTGGCACAACAATGTCAGCACCAACTGTCACTGCATAGCATACTGACAGCAACATCTAGGTCATTTTAGAAAAAAGGAAAGGGCAAGCTGCTGTCCCTCTGAACTGATAAGTCCTGAATCTGCGCTGAACTGGATAACGAGCAGATAATTATAATCTGTCTGCATTTAGACTCCAGTTCTACCAAACAGTCCAAACGAGCTGCTCTTATCTCAGCAGTGCGTCCTTGGTTAACAACAACAACAACAACAACAATAATGATGATGATGATGATGATGCTCATTTTGTTCATTCTAAAAACAAAACAAAAACGTTAATCAGACAAATTAATAAAAACCAAAAATGATAACCTATCCATCTGTTGTCATTGGTATAAAATCAGCAATAATTAGCTCGCTAATTACACTTTTGTAACGATCTTTTCATAAATACATAAATAATAATCTGACAAAAGTAACGCTGAGTCTGCAGCCAGAAATCCTCCAAAACAATTACTGTATTTATTTTATTAAAAACAAAGGCTTCGAGCTGTGAATAAATGACCGGGATAGGGCCGTGCGCCGGTGCGCGTGCATGTGTGTGGGAGCGCGTGCGGGGCTGAACAGCTGAACCTGCAGCAGGCGCGCGCGGAATGCAGTGTCCGGTAGAAAGTAACGGTACTTTTAAGGAAACTGCTCACCAACAGGCAACCAGCAACCAGAAGCCAGTCGAGTGGGTGGAAGCGGTCGCTCCTCGCATTGTTCCGCTTGGTCTCACTTTAGGTTTTGTGGCTTCCCAGAGGAATAAGAAAGAAAATCAATCAAAGCAGGAGGACGAAAGCACTGAAGAGGTAAAGTCTGGTTTCATAATTCTGTAGCACGAGGGGGATTGGAAAAGACCAAAGTGTGTGGTTTTAGATTATTTACCTACACCCTGAATTAGGATTAACCAGCTCTTTGGTTACTGCGGGTTTAGCCATGCTCATTGGTGTCGCTCTAGCTTCACTGCTTAATAATAGTTTTAAACGTGACTGAGGTTAGAATCAGGCTTTTATGGCATGATTTTGCCAGCTGTGCACAGAAATCACACTAGCGTTTGTTTAAATATTGAGAGAGGTTCTTTTTATTTATCAGCAGCAATAGAGTTATAATGGATTTCTTTCAAAATCCCTCTAAATTGGAATTTAAACAGTCAGAATATGGCGTGAAGATCCACAAAGGGCAACAAACACTGTCACTGTCTGACTTTGGCATTCACCTCTTAAAACGAGGGTGGAAAATCAAATCAGCCGTCCCTAAATCAAGCTACAACCTACCCTGGCTCCAGCAGTGTGTTGTAGGCCTAAAATTGATAACTATAATTGCTTCAATTAGCCACTCTCTGCTATAATGTAAAAGTGCTTCGAATACTTCTGAAGTCGGGCTGAACCCACCTGTGAGGCCTACAGTGATCCGCCTCAGTGCGTTGACTGTTGGTTCAATGGCAGAGCTTCTGATTAGCTGTGCCGGGTCACAGTGAGATCTTCATATCTGAGTCTGAAAGGTATTTGGGGACGCTGATACACAGCAACAGTTTTAGTGTGGGGTGACTAACAGTCCAAACAGCTCTCATTCATCCAGTTGTCCTGCTCTCAGTTTGGCCATTTTGTCGAGGGTCTGTGGGGCGACATGTGGGTGCCAGCTCGAGCTGTGTCCAACTGCCTATCAGTCATCAGAAATAGTCACGATCACATGCCCTAGAGCCACAAGTGGGCTATAAATAGGGGCCGGCAAGCTTCCATTGCACTCTTTCTCCAGATACTGAGTAACAGCTCTGTTTGCAGTGGTAAAAATGTGACAGTGCAGACAGACAGTAACTGTGAAATGTAGCAAAACGACAGTAAAGTGCTACGCTGATATTCAGCTAAAGGATGGAAAATCAAATTAGGCAAAGATAGAAATGGCATTAAAATGATTGATTCAAAACACAGATTAATAAAAAAAAAAAATTTAAAATTAGGATTTTAATCATGTAAAATTAATGTAGTCTGCCATGTTGTCGGCCAAAGGGAGCACTTATGTGCGGCACTACATGGCAAAGGTTAACAAACTCAGCATGTATCTGTCAGTTTAGTTTTAAGCTTTTATTCTGCTGTGATGAGTGAGTTGTGTCTTTGTGTGTTTAACAGCAGATTCTTAAAAACACGTTTGGTGGAATAAAAAAGCAAGGTTGGCTGGTCATCAGTGTTTGAACCGTGACTTGTGTGCTTTGCAGGTGAAGAACTTTAAACAGAGTGTGTTTGTCGGCCTGTCACTGTGGTACAAACATGACTGAGGTGGCAGCTGTAGATGCCCACGACGTGGAAGATAAAGAAAGCGATGTGACAGCCAATGACGTCGAGGGTAGAGGTGAGAGAGCATCCACAGAAGATCAGAAACCTCGTGGCAGGAATGAAACGGCGAGCAATGAGACCGACAAGACACACGTGAACGGCTTGGAGCACAAAGAAAAGAAAGGGCGAAACGAGAGCTCGGGAGATGTTAATGGTGTTTCACAGAAGGAGGAGGACGAGGAGGAGGAAGAGCCTGAAACAAATGAAGACCAGAACATTTCTGATGTGGCATTCAAAAAAGAGGTGAGATGGAAAACACTGGCAGCATCTTTACATTTCTGGTACCATTTTTTCCCACAGTTACATCAACGAACTCATCATTTTTTCGACTGTTAAACCACAGAAACTCCTCAGATCCAGAAAGCTGGTGGCAAGAAGCTACGTGCCAAAGCTCAACAAAGACAAGGAGAACGTGACGAGCAAATTTGAGGCCATGCAGAAGGCCAGGGAGGAGCGCAGCAGGCAGAGGAACAGGGAGGAGCAGCAGAAGAGGAAGGAGCAATACATCAAGGAGAGAGAGTGGCATCGCAGGAAGCAGCAGGTCAAAGGCTGATAACCCCACTAACCTCCCACTGTGATCTGCATGGCATGATGAGGCATGGCGCCGTGACAGAGACTGCGGTTTGTGAGAGAACTCGATTTTTACACTGCACCGACACATCTGTCACATCTGTCACATCTCATGTATTAACCTGCTAAACGTTGTAGATATGAGCCCATGTTCAGTCAAACTGGCCTGTGCTTGTTGTTAAAGTGACCTTTTGTAAAAAGCCATCTTTAACCATATTAATATGCACTGAACAACTTTCTCACCACTACTTTAAATTCAGAATTCACCATATGTCAAATATCCAGCGGGTCACGTGATAGTGAAGCAGCATGAACGATGCCCGAAACGTCTGAATCCAGTGATCAACTAATCAGATTAGTCCACGATGGTAAATTGCTTTAAATTGATTTAATATATCACCAAAACGTCATTAATCCATTAGAAAAAAGCAGACATCAGTCCCACTGAGAAGGTCAGAGATCAAGAATTCCAGGGTTCAGCTTTTCTTCCTACTCGACTGCAGTGAAATACAGGCAGTGATACGGTGTTGTGTGATTATCAGGCACTCTGACAAAACGCCCTTCCTGTGTACTGCTGTGCCGTAGCTGGCCAGGCTCGGACACCTGCACTCATCCCCTATCTGTTCAACAACACGACGGGCCAATCAGAGGCCTGCTGCAAGCCACATGACCCTGCTATTAGCAGGGATTAGGCTCGTGTTCTTGCTGGGACCAGCATGGCTCCTGAGTGGCAAAGGAGATGATCCCAGCTAAACCGTAACCTCACCTCGTCACACTTTCTATCTGCTCGATCACAGATAAAAGAACTGCTTGCTTCCAGTGATGAGGAAGAGGAGGTGAAGCCAGCGAAGGTGGAAAAATCTTACGTCCCCAAAATCAAAGGTAAGGGATGGTAATGAGCGATGACTATCCAGGAGGAAGACGAGGCTTAAGGCTTGTGTCTCGCTTTGTGAAATCCTCAGGTAGCGTGAAGGGGAAGTTTGCAGAAATGGAAAAACAAAGACAGGAGGAGGAGAGGAAGAGGATGGAGGAAGAGAGGAAGAAGAGGGAGGCCCAGGATAAGCTGGAGAAAGCCAAAATCCAGAAAGAACTGGCTCAAAAAGCCGCTGAGGTCAGTGAACCTGGGCTCAAGCAAAAACAAAGTGTGTTTTGGTGTTTGAGAGGCTGCGATGAACCAGTGTGGTTACCACTGTAATGGTTAATCCTCAGCTGCCTCTCGGATGAGTTGTAATGGGCATTTGAGGTCCAAAGAGTTGGCACAGACTGGATGTAGGTCTGAATCCACCAGTAGCATTGCTAACATGACCAGTCTGTGAACTGCTGGCACACATTTAACCTCACTATGCAGGAAAACGATTCAAGCTAAATCAGACGGAGATTTCCAATTAGTCCACTTTCAGGCTTCTTATACATTCAGACGGTGCAGTTCTTGGAAATGGTTACGTCAGTGATCTCGTGCCAAATAGGCAATTACAAGCAGCAGTGCACTACTTCTTTGACCTGATTCTGCTGCTGTAGCAAAGCAATAAGGTTCACAATGCTGTCTGAAAATGGGACTTTTATATGGATCCTGTTCAGTGTGAAACTTTGAATGTGGCTGCAAAGCTCTGCCTTAGTCATCACTAATAACACTGAGCCTGAAAGACCAGGAGCGTAACACTGTTGCTTTCACTGAAACACAATCGGAAAAAAACAAACCCAAAAGATGTTTTCTCCTCAAACTTGAAACAATAACTTCTGCTTATTCAAATATCTCGCTGAATCTGTACCAGTGAACAGATTCCATTGTACTTTGTACGTTACGTTACACAATTACGTGTATCTGGGACCCTGATTATGGTAAAGATCAGATCATGAAGTCAAATCAGTTTCTTCAAAGCGTGTCTAAAAAGCTACTCTGACCCCTGACTGCTGCTTTAACCGTTTCCTTTGTGCCTCGTTGACCACATAAGACAATGACGCTTCAGATCACACCATTAAAAAGAGCCTGTTCACATATAGGAATGCACTGATCTGGAAACAGCTGGAACAGAGCTGCCAGGTGTAGACAGCAGATGACTGGCAGCTGTTTCCCACACCTCCCACAGACAGAATTAGCTCGAGCCTTCCCTGCTGCGACTGCTGCTATCTTAGACTGACACCCGTACACTGACCTACTGCGAACTGCAGAGTCGCTCCCTACCCACACACAGTCCCAGTGAACGTGGGAGGTTTGCTCTCTCAGTGCTGCAGACAACACACATAATAGTAATAATAATATCATATCTGACTCGTCACATTTGCTTTAATATAAACTGTGATGATATTGTTGTTGTGAATTCTCTAGACCGTGATTATCGGCTGTTTTAACTTTTTAGGAAGGAGATGACACAATCCTGGTGCGTGTGGTCCCGGCGAAGCCGTCACGACCTCCCGGCAAAATCAAAGTGAATTTTGAAGACATGGAGAAGAATCGAGAGGAGGAGCTAAAAAGGAAGGCAGAAGAGGAGAAAAAAAGACGCTACGACGAAAACAAGCGCTCCTTCCGGGAAGTGAAGAGACGCTCAGTTAATCAACAGGTAAATGAAGATGTCAATGTGAACGCAGTGTTAACAGGAGATATTGTGTTTTACAGCCACAGGTCTGCTTTCTTGCTTTCTTTTGCTTTAGGATGAAGAGGAGAAAGCTTCCGATAAGGTTCAAGTCACTCCTGGAAAGCTGAAACTGACCTTTGAGGAGCTGGAGAAAGAAAGGCAGGAGCAGAGGAGGAAGCAAGCGGAGGAGGAAGCCAAACGCCGCCTGCTAGAGGAGAAGAAAGCTTTTGAGGAGGCCAGGCTGGGAATGGTACACATGACTGCAAAACAGCAAGCATAGCTTTTGTACATGTGCGATTCACTGGCAGATCTCATGAAGGCAACAAGTGCGCTTCAGCAGCTTTAGCATTCCCATAGTTGCTGTACATCTGCATGTCGCTTTGCAACCCTCCTCTATGCAAGCTTAGGGCGGTACCAGAGAAACCACACATACATATCTACAGACGGATATAACAACCTTCCTTCTGACTGCCAGCATCTTCCAGTGTACAGTTACTTCAAGCAAGATATAAATCACGAGCCATGTGAAAATATTTCAGAAGTCCTCCTGGGATTAACATCTCTTAAAAACAACTTTAGGGGATTTGTGTTTGCGCTTCCAAATCACCTTTGTGTTGTGAAGATGGCCTAATCACGTTTGCGATATGTTTGTGTCCCATCAGGAAGAAGACGAGGAAAGCACAGGACAGGAAGACAAGGAGGAGTTTCGCCCAGGAAAACTGAGACTGAGCTTTGAAGAGCTGGAGAGACAAAGGGTAGAGGAAGAGCGCAAGAAAGCAGAGGAAGAGGCCAAGAGACGGATGGAGGAGGAGAGAAGAGCTTTTGCTGAAGCCAGGAAAAGCATGGTCAATATTAAATCTGCATTTAATACAAAACCTTTCTCTCAGAGTGGATACATATCTGTTGATTATATCAATGAATTTGTTTGCCTTAAAAGTGTAGATTGAACTTTTGTGCGTGAGGAAGCGATCATCTGCCAACTGAACGTTACACTCTAGTCAGCAGCTGGTTGGCCTGGTTAGTGAAACAAACTAGTCTGGATAATTATCGAGCTTTCTGTGCAGAGCTGCCTTTACTGTGTGTACAGGCGCTGAGATCAACTGCTTTTTAAAACCAGGCAGACATTAATGTGGTCTTTGCACCGTTGGGTTTTCACTCAGCTTGTAGACGAGGATGACGAGGTGCTGATGGCCTTGCTGAACCTGGAGGGCAGTGAGCCTGGGAAGATATGTGTCAGCTTTGAGGAGCTGGAACGCCAGAGGAGAGAGGAAGAGCAGAAAAGGGCAGAGGAGGAGGCTAAGAGGAGACTGGAGGAGGAAAAGAGGCTGTTTGCTGAGGCCCGCAAGAGCATGGTAAACGTCCATCACTTGGTGACAAAAGCGTTGCACAGTCTGCATGTTTTGGACTGATCACTAATGTGTTACTGCTTTTTTGTGCTGTTAAAGCCTCAAGTTGATTTGCTGCTGCTTTGCTGCTCAGCTCTCTTGTTACAGAGCAGGAAAACATGCATGAAAAGCAGTTTTACGATATTTGTAAAACAATCAAACACAGTTTCATTCAGCATCAGTGGATTAAGCCAACACCTTCTTTAAGTGACCCTGCAGAAGTGTTGCCTGTAATAGATTCATGCTGCACATCAGTAATGATGGGCTACAACTGCACTGCTGTTTCCTTGTCTCAATTATTTCTTCAAGAGCCCTGGTCTGGATCAGGAAAAGTCTGCATTTGGAGATGAAACAGTAAGAGATTTTCAGTTTCAGATATAGTATAAATTATTTTTACTCCAAGAGTCTTATTATCAATGTGTTCCCTACACATACAAGGACACAGTGGCCTCCAGACGATGCATCTTGTTTTTTTTGCATGCAGCTGTTTATCTAATGTTTGTAATGCTTTAGATTTGCACTTGCTTTTGCAAATTGAAGATGTTACTGCTGCAGGATTTCATTAAACATTAAAATACTGAAACACTTTTGTGGGTGCTTGTGTGTTTAGGTACTAGATGAGGACGAAGGGATGGTAAAGAGTGAGTCTCAGGAAGCCCTGCACCCCAGGAAACTGGAGATCAACTTTGAAGAGCTGCTGAAAGAGAAGGAGGAAGCTGAGAGGAGACGCAAGGCAGAGGAGCGCAAAAAGAAAATGGAGCAAGAGAAGCAGGAATTCGAACAACTCAGACAAGAGATGGGCGAGGTCAGTCTCGAACAGCTGAAAATATCAGACAGCAGCCAGTCGAGTCGACAGCGTGTTTTACAGAAAAATGTGACTAAATGTTTAAAGTTGTGTTCCACATATCGTTACAGGAAGAAATAAATGAAAGCTCGGATGTTGTAAGCAAAGAGTACGAAGAGCTCACTAAGCTCAAGAGAACCGGCTCCATTCAGGCCAAAAGCCTCAAGTCCAAGTTTGAGAAGATCAAGCAGCTGACTGAGGAGGAGATTCAGAAGAAGATCGAGACGGAGAGAGCCAAGAGGAAGGCCATCGATGATGAAATTAAGGAGAGAGAAGCTGAGCGGTTCCAGGAGGTAAGAGCACTTTATAGCACATGTGGTTTTTTTTCATATCAATGGAAGATGATCTCGGCAGCATGTATTACAAGTTTTTGTTTTTTCCGGAGGATGAGGACCAAGAAACGACTCCAGCGAGGGCCGAAGAGTCACCGTTCAAACAGAAAGTGGACATGCGAGCCCGCTTTGAGCAGATGGCCAAAGCAAGAGAGGAGGAGGAACGGAGGAGGATAGAGGAGCAGAAACTGCAGAGGATGCAGTTTGAGCAGCAGGAGATCGATGCCGCGCTCCAAAAAGTAAATCTTCCATTTTCATGACAAACTGCACCGAGATAACAAACGAACAACTTTTTGTGATTGTTTTGTCCTCTGTTTGCAGAAGGATGACGACGTGGAGGACGAGGGCAGCATCATTAACGGCTCTGCGGCTTACGAAGATGAGGAGGATCACGCCAGGTCAGGGGCCCCGTGGTTTAAAAAGCCCCTCAAAAACCAGTCGGTGGTAGATTCTGAGCCAGTTCGGTTCACCGTAAAGATCACCGGGGAACCAAAGCCAGAGGTGACCTGGTGGTTTGAGGGAGAGGTGCTTCAAGATTGTGAGGACTATCAGTACATAGAGAGAGGAGAGACATACTGCCTCTACCTGCCGGAGACCTTCCCCGAGGACGAGGGAGAGTACATGTGCAAGGCCGTGAACAGCAGAGGCACGGCAGCAAGTACCTGCATCCTCACAATAGAAAGTAAGACCACCTTGGTGTGATTGCATGCCCGTCTGGATATGAACCTCTCTTCACGAAGTGGATCGCATGCTCCTCTTCCTCGTAGACTCTGCCAGTTGGATAACCGTCCTTCTGTTTCTTTCTTGCAGCTTACGACTACTGATGCCGCCTCGTGATCTAGAGAGTTTCCCTCTGTCTCTCACTCCTTTTGTAAAACGTCGTCCCTCCTGGCATTGTCAAACAGAGGGAAGGAAATAGCAGTATGCTTGGCATTCCTAAGGGAGGGACACATAACACACATATGCAAAAAACAAAGACAAGATGTTGTTTACGTATTGCTCAAATGTAAAGCTGCACTCCCCTCTAGGATAGAAGATGATACCTGTGCCAAAAACACGTGGTTCTTGTTCCCACGACAAGGGCTGCACCAAAACTTCAAAACGATCTCTCCTGCGCGGCCCTGACAATACTCGTCATACCAGCACATTTCCTGCATTGCTCTGGTACTGTTCTGTAAATATCACACGTTTTGGTCCATAAATGGCAAATGTTAAGCTTGAGGTATTGAAATGTTAAATGTAAGATGTGCATTCACTTAAAGAACAGCAGTTATATCGACGATTTAGAGGCAGCCACATGTTGCAGGAACAAAACAGCTGCATCCCTGAGTTTTACTTGCAGCCTCTACAGATGAATTTTTCATGTGTTAAATGTACTACACTTAAAGTTGTCGAGGATTGATAATGAATATAAAAGTAGACATGTCCGATTATTTGTCGTATATTATAAATAGAAAAAAAACCTTTTAATAAAATGAACACAAAGAACTGCATTGTTGATTTCTTTCACTGTTACAACCTTTGCAGCAACAAACTGCAACCTGTTGCCTGAAAGGACGGACTGTCCCGTCACGAATGAGTAACCACAAGCTACACCTGAGGAAACCCATCATCACTCCACAAACACTAGCATCCCAGTGTAGCATGCATCCATAGTACAGCACAATGAATGGAGCTGTATGCCATGGAAATGCAGTGGGTGGTAATTTATCAAAATGAAAAGTTCCCCATAAAAACCATGAAAATGTTCGAATACTCAGAATGATCCGTTAAGACATGGACAGCGCACCATGGCTCCAAACCGTCTGAGGTGGACATCTTTTTGTCCAACACAGAGCTGTGCAGAGAAAACATACAACAATAAAGACATGCACATAATAAAAGAACATTATACATGTTCATAAGAAAAGACTGTGGGAAGGAAACTGCAAATACATAAATGTAACCTTTGTAGAATGAAATGCCAGAATAGGTTCATTGCTTTTTTCTATAAGTTTTATTTTAAGGCAGCAAAGTATTTAAAATGTCTTGTGACCTGACATTGTAAGTATTGTGTTCAAATGCAATCAAAGGGCCTTGTAACTACAGGATAACACTGCTGAGTAAACTGCAACACGCTGTGAACACAGGATGAAGCAGTTTCAAGAAGGAGGCCGCACAAAGTTTTCCTCCCTTACAAAGACATGTTTGGATCCCATCCTTGGTTGACTACACATTAGAGCAGGGGTGTCAAACTCAAACACACAGTGGGCCAAAATTCAAAACTGGAACAAAGTCGCGGGCTAACGCTAATATTTATTGAAATATATTTATTCCTCCAGATATAAGAATGAATCTTTTCTTATGGACACGTTTTGCTGAAAAACTGAATATGGAACAAGCCGAGCTTAATACTAAACAATATATATATTAGCTGTATAATACCAGTGGGCCAGCTCTAATAGTAATTTGGTGTGGCTTCGCGGGCCAAATGTAATTAGGCTGCGGGCCAAACTTGGCCCGCGGGCCAGAGTTTGACACCTATGCCTTAGACAAAGCAGGCAACTGCCCTCGAACCGCATCGTCGCACTGCCCGTTCATCAGCTGCACTTGATGAGAACTGCACCTCTTTAGTTGTTGTTCTGTCACAAAATGTAGGTATTAGTTTTGTTATTTTTCTTTATCTGCATCTCTACATTTGTATTCAGAACACGTTCAGCTGAAACGTGATTTCAATACAGTTTGTGTTCAGACTTGAGGAGTTACACAGCAGGAACAGGGCCTGTGGTCATAATGTTCAACCAAGGAGCAAGTTCCTCAAAAAGAGGTTTATAGTCTTAGCAATTTACACACTGTCAGTTTAAAAACATGCATTTGATGTATTTTCTTTTTTAATCATTCCACATATTTGGAGGGTCTACGCCTGTGGTTTGGCGGCCCCTCTAGCCCTCCTTGCTCTGGGCGAGGTTGTGCTAGCATAAGCTTAGGCTAATACTTCTGTATACAGTGCTGCTGCTCATTGCATCCTGCACTTTGCAGGAGGAACTGTCAGACTGATGGAAAAGCTTTTTGTTAATTCTTGCAAGAACACTCTCACTCTTATAATCTGAGAGGAAGATGAGAGCCAGGCCCCTCAGCTTTTCCTCATAGTACTTTCAGACACATGGTTTAGATACAGGGTCACATGCAAGTCAACAATATTTCTCTGCACAGCAATTATTTCATGGTCAGTCTGTTCCTTTGTCGTCTCTCATGTCCTAGAACACATTGTTCCTCGTGCACAGCAGGAGGTGAAACAGACGCACTTAAACGAGCGTTTATAAGCACACAGATTTCTCAGAACTTCATTAACTTTCCTTCTGTTTATAATTTAGCTACATATTAATGAAAAAGCTTAAACAGTAGTATATAGAAAATATAACAAAGACCGCCTTTTATCATTTGAGGAACATCGCCAAAATCAGACAAGTTTTGTCAAGCGACACTGCAGAGGTTCTTGTCCATGCATTTGTGTCCTCACGTATTGATTATTGTAGCGCTCTTCTTTCTGGGCTACCAAAGAAAAGATTCAGAGGTCTACAGATGTTGCAAAATGCAGCTGCTTGCATTTTAACAAGAACTGGGAAATTTGAGCACATTACCCTGTTCTGAGATCACTGGCTACCTCGTCAGGTTCGAGCAGATTTTAAGGTCCTGCTGCTCACCTACGCGGCTCTAAATGGATCGGCACCTTCATACCTCTCCGACCTTTTACACCTTTATGTTCCATCTCGTGCGCTCCGATCTCAGGACTCTGGCCTTCTAAAGGTTCCTAGAGCCAGAAAAAAGACAGTTGGAGAGCTTTTACCTTTCGTGCCCAGTTTCTGTGGAACAGCCTCCCTCAAGATATTAGGCAGACCTGCACTGTGGAGGTTTTTAAAACTAAGTCGAAGACATGTTTGTTCACCCTATCCTACAGGTCTTAATTCTTTGCCTTTTAGTTTTTAAATTCTTACTGTTTTTACTTGTACTGCTATTTATCTCTTTTATTTATTCATCTTCTTACTGTCAAATAGCTGTACAGCACTTTGTTTGAAGGCACTTTATAAATAAAGTTATTATTATTATTATTATTATCTAAACAATATCAAGAAGATCAAAATACATGAGTATAAAGGGTAATAATACCTCACATGGAAAGCCATGAACTATGGAGGAAACGTAGAACACACAGCGTGAGGACACGTATGACAACAATGTGAGAAAGAACAGAGGAAGACTGAAGACGTAAACACACACATGAGGTAAGAGCAGAGTGGAAACATCTGGGGAACACAGCTGAACAGAACCCACAAAAGAACCAAAGCTAGCAAAGCAGAACATCACACACGAGACGAAGGACCATCGACGGCTGGGAAAAAGGATCACAAAGGGAATCAACTTAATATGACTGAACTCGGAAGATTAACCAGAACCCAAACAGACTGCAAATAAAATATAATAAACGCAAAAGAAAAGCTACAACCAAGTTCATATGTAAAGGAGCTAAACCAAACACAAAGCTATAGATCGCCAATACTTGGTGTCATCATGGCCACCATCTGCCCATCGTGGGTACCTCTGTATACAAAATTATATCATCTATGCAATCTACCTTAATCAGTGCTGTAATAATAATTCTCTGAATAAGTCCTTGAAGACACGGCTAGGGTTGCCAACCGTCCCTTAAAATACGGAATCGTCCCGTATTTCGAAACAAAAGCACACGTCCCGTATTGAGCTAATAAGGGACGCACTTTGTCCCGTAATACAGTGAGAATCAAAAGTAGTCTATAAATGTTTATGGAATTAACGCCTTGTTTGAAAACATAATTCCCAGCCCCTCTCCTGCTTTGTGACCAATGAGCTCACAGCACACTTATGACAATTCGAGTATGACAATTCAGATTACCGCTCATCTCATTGGTCGAGGAAAGGTCGCTTTCGGAGAAAATACCGGAAGACAACAGATGACCACAACAAGAAGCATGGCCAACAGGGAAACAAACGCCGACTCTGCGGTGCAAGTCTCGGACGACAGTACACCTAAAGCTGGGCTTACACTGTGCGATTTTTTCAGTCACGTTATTCAGCTCCTGCTCAAACTGCACGATTGACTCACAGGGGTTAGAAGTTCATAGGTCACGATGTACTCTCACACTATACCGCCCGATGCTCTGATGCGACCTGAGTGCTCACACTGTGCCGCTGTTGTGCCAAAGTAGTTACCCCCGCCATAAAATGAAGGTTATAACAGAAAATCTGTCGCGCTCTCTCTCTGTCTTTCACTCACACAGACACACCACCACCATCAACTTTGCTAAATTGCTAATGAAAAACATGATCAGGCAGCTGTGATTGAACAGCAGTGTAAATCCAACTATTTTCACGGTTGTTGTGGTCGTGATAATTTTGTGATGCCACATCGAAAAGGCTCGGATGAGCTTTCCAAAGTTCTACAAGTTGTGCCTCCATCACTTGTGTCCAGATCACACGCTGCACAGCCGTGCTGCTCCATCTTTTTCACCAACGTTTACGTGTTTGCGCGTGAGCAGCTGCGGTGACACCCTCACGAGCGATTGATGATCGGGAGCTGGTCGTGAGGTGTTAATCACTTCTCGTTACCCCACGTATACTACACGACGCACGATGAAGGCCAAAATCGGTCCGATCACTCAAAAATCGGCTCAAAATGGGCCTAAAACCGCACAGTGTGAGCCCAGCGTTAGAGCAGCAATGTTTGTTCCCCTCAGAGAAAGGGAAGAATGGGAAAAGGAAAACACCTGGCTGGAAAAAGTTAATATGGGCATGTGCAGTGAATATCAGCGCTATGTGGCCAGAAGTGTGATAATATAATTTATTTTGTGTAATAAACAACTGCAAGGATAGATGATTACAACAAATTGATGACTAATACATAAAAGTAATACATAGGTGAATAATGATGATGAGTTATGATGCGTAATCATGGGAACAAGTGGGTTTACAAACAGGAGCAGCTGATTAGCATTAGAAAAGCTGAAATAATACCTCAACTGAAGCCAATTGTACTAAATGCACTAAATAGAATAGAATAGAATTCAACTTTATTGTCATTGCACATGCACAGGTACAGGGCAACGAAATGCAGTTTGCATCCATCCAGAAGTGCTTTAGTGATATAGATATATTACAATATATATTAGCAATAATATAGATATGTGAGTATATTACAGAAATGGGTCTATTATGGTATGTTATAATGTACACGGTATGAAGTATGTTGTGAATATTCTATAACTATAAGTATGTACAGGATATGAACAGGATATAAATATGAAAAACTATACAGAATATGAAATAAATAACTTTACAGAATCCGAGATATACAGTTATACAGAAATGGGAACTATGCAAGTTGTAAACAGTTGTAGGATTAAAGATTATCGAATGTACAGAATGATTATTTACACAGAGCTATACAGTAGTGCAGTTAAGATAAGTGAGGGTGT